TGATAGTTACCTTTTGCAGGCTCTTTAGAAGTAGACACGAGTTACTGACTGAAGAGGCAGAGTCAGCTTCTAGCAACGTGCAGTATTACTGCAGGAGAATGTGGGGTACAGCTGAGGAAGCTGCACTAAAAAGAATAACTCGCAATCTGGTATTTGTTATGGAGAGGAAGAATAAAGCAGGCACTCTGACAGACACAATAAAAATATTTTCATAGTTAGTTTTTCTTCAAACTCTTTCTTGATTACGAACAAGCTGGTTTTCTCTTTGTGGAAGACTCACTCTCCTGAGTCTATTGTGCTTTTAATACATGGAATATATCTAAGTTTTGGTGTGGCTGATGGGTTATAGTCCTGAGCAGACTAGAAATCAAGCCTATTGTGGAGTCAAGAAAAGTAATATGCAACAATTGGCATGAGGATGCCAAGAGGTTTTCCCCATGTATACACTGTCATGCTGAACATCATCCAGCTCGCTCTTTCATATTATTGTGTGAGCAAACTTTCATGTTTAATAAAATGCAGAAGTAATTAGTGGATTTAAGTATTGTAATTCAACCAATTGAGGTTTTATAAAAACATCAGAGCAATGCTTTTAAAAATAAATTTACTGGGAGATGAAGTACTTTAAAACTTGAATTTATGTGGCTAAGAGGATTGGAGGATATAAGACAGCAGTAACATGTTTGCTAACTGTTGCAACTGTTGTTACTTCCTTTGAGTGCAGTGATTTCAGTGGAATCAGTGTGTGGTCAGTTATCTTGGAGAAACAGAAAGGAATAATGTGGTGCAACTCTGGGATCTAGCAGTAGCAAAACAGAGCAGAACAAAGCAGAGCAGTGGGATGCTGACAAACTAATTCTTACATAGTACAGAAATGAGGTAACCGACTGGTAAAGTAGGTCTGGTAACACTGATGCAGAAGTGGCCATGAAGGAATAATGAACCAGAGTAAGATGTTTCCATCATGTTGTTTTCTCACATGGAAGATATTGTCATGCTACAGGGTTTAGCTATTTTTTAGCTATTTTTAAGCATTACTGCATGCTAAAAAGCTGGTTTGCATATCAATTGTCTGCATACTCATCGGTATGCATATGAGAAAAAAACCAGCACCTGTTGGTGCTGAAGAATTGTATGAACACAGTGTTTGAATTAAAAAAAATTATTGGTTTAAAAATTTGTTAGAGTAATAAAAAGAATTGGCACAAATATGAAGTAATTTAAAACTTAGTGCTACAGTGCCATGTGCAAATATTTAGAGAAATTGTTTGGGGTTTATGTTTAATACGCATATAGTGACAGCTACAGTCACTTGTGGGATGTGTTTCGTTGTATTACCAAAGCCAATATATGTCTAGTGTTGTTAAGAGGCTCTTTTCTGTTTTATGTGCCTGGCTTATCTGTGCTCCCTGTAAGCTTTTTGAAGCCCTTGCTTTAGGATAAGCCCTGTGTCCGGGTGGGTGTCCTGTCTCGAGAAGGGGAGATGTGGAGCCAGGCTGGTTCTTGTGCTGAGCCTGGAGTGTGAGCGAGGCACTGGGGTTCATAGGGTGGCTGGATGCTGGAAGAGCTTCAGTGACCTCAGGGTGAGGAGGAGGTGCAGCAGTCTCAGGGAAAAAGATCATTTACCAGGGAGAGAGAAAGCTTGGCAGGCTGGCAGGTGTTGAAAGCACAGGTATGGTGATGTTTGCATGTGAAAAAGGTTGAAACCCACTGTTAAAGCAGCACTTGAAGCAGGGGTGTATTTTGCGGTATGCACGGGGGATGAAACTCCAGCTTTGCCAGTCTTATTTCCTCTGGGAAGTTGGCTGCACTGCACTGGCCAAGAAAGGAATGCTTAATCTCCTTTCCCTGGAGAGTAATCAGAACATAATGCCAGAGCAAGCTTGAACTTGTCCCTGCATTAGCTGCGTTACAAGCTGTCTTATCACTTGAATAGCCATATTGTAAATGTACTTTTTAAAGACTTACTTACAGGGTGAACAGCTCTTGTTCACTCCCACATGTGTATTAGCCATGTGCACTTGCCAGTGTACTTGCACTCTAATTAGGAGTGCTGTTGATTTTGGCCTGGGGGTGTGCCCTGGGAGTCATCAGCAGTAAAAGAAATGCTACGATTAGGTAGCCAGAAAGAGTTTGAAAGATTTTTCACCCAGATGCTGATTAACCCATGAAGCAAATGAGCAGGAAGAGTCATTGAAACATGGGACAATAGGAAAAAGAAGATGAACTGGAGATCAAGAAAACAAAAGGAATAAGCATGTGGATTTCACTGGACTCTTTCTCTTGCTCTCTATCACATTAGATGTCAAAGTTTCTCCTTGGAGTAGCACAGTCATAAATTATCTAATTCTTAATTATTTTTTAAATGAAACTGGGTTTTGGGGGGTAAGTAGTATTGTAGAGGAGCTGGCTGCTTGACACTGCTGAAATGCTTCCTAATGAGTTAGGTCTCTGAGTAGGAATGGAATTATTTGAAAGTTTGGATTAGTTTTTGTGGGAAAGATGTGTATTACATGGGGGAAGTACTGTTTGGTTTTTTAGGAGTCTGATTAAAGAATTCTTTGTGTAACCACTGATTTTACCCACTTGGCTGAGGTGGTAGTGTGTGCTGTAAACATTCTCAGGATCCTGAATAAAACAGGAAAGAACAATTAGCTACTATTTATATTTACTTATTTTTCAACATGCATTTCTTTTTGTAACTAAACATCTATATGGATATAGAATATGTTTCTCTCTTAGTGTGTGATTATTTATATGCATATATGAATAAACTAGATATGCATATATCTTTGCCTTTACTCTTGCTTTTTAAGGCATGCAAGATCAAGAAACTATGCCTCAGAATCTGAAATGTGCAAGCTGGAATCTGTACCCTTGGATTTCGGTGATTACCATCCACTGAAACCCATAACAGTGAGTTTTTTTGTGCTTTTGGAAAATGAATGTGAATTAAAACTGATTGTATTCCTCGTTTTACTTTTGTTCCTTTAAAATTAAAAGGCTTTGAAGTCGGTGGTGCTACTTGTGAAGTTGCTTCCTATATTAGTGGCCTGTTATTTTAAAGGCATCAAGGTTTATTCTGTTTGTCCTTTACAGAAATTTGCTGGTGCTGTTATGTGTCAAAACCAATCTCCTTCTGACAAATATAGCACTCCAGCCTGTGGGCTTTCTTGGTTGCATTAAATGCTGAATAATGGATAAATTTAAAACCAAATTATTGCATTACAAATAACCTGCATAATTGCTTGATATAAGATTTGGTTTTTTGGGTTAACTTCCAGTCAGCTGTGTGCTTTAAAACATTTATCATTTCTTTAATGTATAAGAGGCTTTTAAAGATGTGGATGTGCAAAAAAAAATCCAGCTTCAAAGAGACGATAGTCATCAGCTAATGAATGATAAATGGGCAGCAGCTTCTGCTCAGGAAGGTCAGGAGGGACATAAGACAGTGGCCTTAAGAATGGATTTGATGTACCAGGCTTGAGTCTTGAGTGTCCTACAGGAAAATTCAGGATGAAACTGCTGGAGGTAATCAAATAGCAAGAAAGAGGTTGGAGGAGAGGGATAAACCTAATAAAATAGAGGAGGGGTACTAGAAAGAAATTTAGAATGGTTGTTACAGTTCTGTAGACCTAGAATTGGAAGGAAAAAAAAGGTAATGGAAATGCTATTGAAGAGTGAGTGCCTCCAGACTGAGGGGAAGAGGAGGTGCTGCATTTAAATGTTGGTGCTTGCTCTAAAGAGTTTGTTTGATTTGTCCTCACTTTTGTTGCAACAGCACCGTTTATGTAGCACATATTTTTGTGGTTTATTAAAGAAAAGAGAGGAAAGAGAAAGCTCTTTTGTTTAGTAGCTTTGAACTTTTTTTTCAGGTTACTGAATCCAAGACCAAGAAAATGAACCGGAAAGGAAGTACTTCTTCTACCTCCTCTTCTTCTTCCAGTTCTATGATGGATCCATTGAGCAGTGTATTGGATGGCACCGACCCTTTGTCATTATTTGCAGCAGCTGCAGATCCTGTGGCTACCACTGCTACCATGGTAACACTAGAGGCAGTTATTTCAACTAAATAAAATTAAAAAAAAACAAACCCAAACCAAATCGCAATGCCAACCATGGAAAAAATATGTTTGTCTCACCAGGTTAATGCAAACAGGAAATATACTGTATTGATAGAATATTCCTTTTTATTTACTTATTTTTATCCAGTTTATGTTG